ATTGGTACATAACAGCTTTCTTGTATGCAAAGAAAATAATTAAAAATGTTAAAAAAGAGATGTCAACACAAAATTACATAGCCCCTTCAATTCAGAAGATACTACAAACGAACTGTACCTTAACATTTTCATATCCCAGAAGCTAACGTTCCCATGACGAATATTGCTATCGCTAGCGATTGCAAAATCCAACTTGTTCTCGATTACAAATATTTGACGCGGATCCCATTCCGCGGCTCCGAAACATCGATGAAAAAGCATGAAACTCGCCCAGCAGAAACATCAAGAAGTTTCATTCCGGATCTTTGATCTGACGTCCGCGAAGACGGCAACGTCCGCGTCGGAGTTGGTCGACGTCGAAGGAGGAGCGAGGAGGGGGGGTGGGGGTCTGGAGCGCGGAAAGGAGAACCGAGGCGTAATTAAACGGGGCTCTCGGACGCCCCGTCAGAGATTATTCAACATAAATGGAATAATCTTTGGGATGAAGAGGAGCCGAGTCAATTAAGCGCGACCGAGCCGCGTCGGAGCCGGCGACGTCGACGTCGACGCAACGCCAAGACGTCATAAAACTACTGTTAATCAATCAATAAAGTCTTATTGTCGATGTGATTTTTGAAAAGGGCTCGGGAACCCCGTAATTACTTACAACCGAGAGATGAGAGCGAGCTGCGGCGAGGCGCCCTCCCCCTCCGCGGGCTCCGCCGAGCATTTTCGCCGCTTTAAGCCTTCTTCCGCCCCTCGACATTGATGCCGAATTTCCTTGCAATTGATGAACTAAAGGTGGAAATTCGACACAGACAAAAATCTGGATGTGGAATCAACATCCTGATTATGGTCGACCTGTACGTAAGACGACCTCAAAAAGTTTGCCTCCCTGCTGAATTACCTTGCTATTGATGAACCAAGGGTGGAAATTCGACACGGATAAAATCTAGATGTTGAATTAATATCCTGATAATGGCCAAAAATTGTGTGACAACCCCAAAACGTTTGCCTTACTCTCAACTGGACCGCGTTTAGCAGAAAGGAACCAAGTCACATCAGGTATTGTCAAAAACTAAGCAATTTCAATTTTTTTTAAGAGAACATTTGTGCGGATTCCTAGGAAAATATTAAGGAATTTGCTTCGCACTATGCAGAAAATTTACTGAAATTTGCCCAAAAATCCGCACAACCGTTTTCACGAAAGAAATTAAATTTCCCATGTAAATTTGGCAATAGCTAATGCGGTTTGGTTCCTTTATGCTTAACGCGATCCAACTGATCCTGCTGTTAATTTCTCGTCCGGAGGATAATGAGTTAACTGCAGGGGGAGTTTTTGCAACAGATTTGAGCGCTCAAGAATGATTTCTTCGAATTTTTTTGATTGGAATTTTCATCAGAAACTATGCCAAAATAAAATGGAAAGCTTGGGGAAAATCAGGAACTTTTGTGTTAGAAATATCTGAAAAGTCAGGGAATTTTTTAATCAAAGCAAACTTGTCATCCTTCAAACAGAGATGCTTACGATACATTGTGATTATCCGTTTGTTGTTGCCGATTGCTATCCTGCTAATTACACTCTTTGCCAACACTATCACATACAAAAGATTAATATCTAGGAAATTATTTTTACATATTTCCAGGTAAATTAAATGAGAGGATTCACAGAAAGGTTAAGGGAACGATTGCCGATAAAGTTAGGCGAGTAACCCTGCGTGATTTGTGTTAATATCCTTATCATTAATTAACTTATTTCTTCTT